TCCATGTACTCACCAGGGTAAGGTCCAAAGAAACACCCAAGTAGGAACAAGTATTCACAGTGAACATATAATCATCTGATGAAGATATTATATAGGATAATACATAGATCTTTTCAAAATTGCGTTCACACAGAACCACATATTAACACCAAGTTAATCAACATACGGTCAAACACATATACAACAAATGCATAAATGACTCCACGAAAAATCTCACCACACTTATCATATCCCATTTCGTGTTACTTCTACCTCAAGAACACATATCTCTTCTCATCTCCCACCATACGCACTAGATAATTGCTCAACTCATGTCTAACTGGCAAGTCACAATTGATCCTAAGCTCTCGGGATAATCTTTTATCACCACATCACTTCTTCCAACTTACGTGGATAATGGGTCTCCACTTTATCAAAGTGATAGAAGTGTCTCTCTCACACTCTACCTGTACAGGGTCTCCTTCACATATAAAAGATTCTAAACATTTAATTACATCTCCACTTGGGATTCAAATGTCACACACCACATCACCAGTACAAAACACAAAGTACCTCTAGGTATCTATACTCTACCTTATCAGAAGACATCCAACATACTACTAATGCATCTTAACATACTATGCATGCAAGCAATTACGCCAAGTAATCATATTGTCTCAAATTCATGCAAATGCACATATAGAACACATTGAAATGTAGCAGATAAAATGTAGACAATTATACACATGCAGAAAGGATCGCACACAAATGTACATGCAGTAACTAGGTTTACTCTCAATAAACCTCACTGGGGTCATAACTCAACCCCTCAACCACATTCATTTCACCTTTCACATTACCCTTCTGCTTATCCTACTTCTTGGGGTAGTCCCTAATAAAGTGTTCAGACTTATCACAATTGTAACATCATCTATCACTAGACTTGTCCCGTCCATTGCCCTTCTTTTTACTACCTTCATCACCAGAGTCACTACTTGAATCACCATTATTTTGAGCAATACCCAAATTCATTTGTCAAAACTTCATCCTACTCCTTATCATGTGTAACTTACCACTCCTCTTATCTTCATTTTCAACCTTAATGCCATCTTCTTACTCTTGAGTGCGTCTATGATAATCTCGGGTGTTATGGTGTCCCTACCATACTTAATTGCATTTTTAACCTCTCTATATGAATCGGATATGGAATTAAGTAAGATAATTACGTTAGATGTTTCAGACACCTTTTCATCACAGTTAACAATGTCTTGAAAAGTTTGTTAAAAGTATCCATATTGTCGTCAAGATCCTTTGAAGGATTCATTTTATAACTAAAAAATCTTTCAAACAAGTACAGCTTATTAGGAGTAGATTTAAGCAAATATAAGTCCTCCAATTTTTTCCAAAGTTCTTTTGTAGAATCCAGTTTTTCAACTTTTCTCAAAACAGTGTCAGATAAATGTAAGATAATTGAAGTGTAAGCAAGTTCATCATATTTCTCTTTTTGTGTTTCTATCAAATTTACGAGAAAATTGTCATCTATGGCCTTTGAAACTTTTTTTTGAATTAAAATCCCCTTCATCTTTTATTGTCAAATTGAAAATTTTCCTTTCTCATTGAAAATACCAACTTCAAAATATGAAGACATTATTTGGAAAAACAAAACAACTAAATGCACAGATAAGTCACACAAAGTAATCCTACGGTCGTAATATACACCGTTCTAGATTCCCAAGGTTTCGTGAGATTTGCGATTTTAGATCAAGGAAATTTTCGAATGGGTCAAGTCCAGGTTCTAACAGGATAATCAATGCAACAGGTACGTTAACAAAAATTCAAATTCTCATGCAATCACCATATGACAATTACAGCACAAAATCAATTACCAACTTACAATCAACTTTAACACTTCAAATAGGGTAGGTAATTCCTAAATTTTCTAGCACGAGCAATGGTTGCCAAGCAATGACAACCCCCAATCCTAATGATCACCCCGATAATCTACTAGTGTGATAATGTAAAGATTTCAGATAATTTATCAGAGTGGAACTATCTAAGTCCGTAAATTATGAGAGACGCGAATCTGCTGCTTTAGGACCACCACTGTTCACCCTAAAGTTCAACAGATGTGCTAATACGAATGTCAGGGGCAAAATCGTCCAACTTTTTTCGTATATCCTGAAACTGAAAGCTAACAACACAAAATCGTTAGAAAAATTCTGTCTGAAGAAGTTGTCGTCGAAGGAGCCCGCATGCATCCCCATGCACGGTCGCCCGAATCCCCACGCGCCTTTGCCACCGGTGGCCATCACCCAGATGCAAAGGCCACCTAGAAGCGCCTCCACCTGCATATCACGAATCCGACCTCTGTTTCAGCAAATGATGTTTGGATTAGTCGAAAATTGAGGTTGCAGGTCCCATTTTTTTGAAAATTTTCTGGACAGTTTGATCCAACTGGTTTTTACTTTGATTATGGTCAAATTTTGGTCAAAAATTCCACCCAACCTGCTCTGATACCAAATGTTGATTAATCGACCTCCAATTGGTAGAATTTCGGGATCAGGATACCAATCTCGACCTTATCAATATACCCAAGCAATCACGACCCAAAACCTTAAACTTTTTCTACACTTCGGTTGCTCAAGATTTGTGCACACTTAGGACACAAAGGGAAGGTGTTTGCACCCACAAAGGCTAGAGAAGAAACTAGCCAAGCAAGAGCACAAAGCATAAGGCAAGGACTTTTTCTCTCTTCAACACAAAGGCAAACACACATTAATTACGAACAAAGGAAGCTAGCATATATATAGGTTAGGTTAGGTTAAAGTGATCGGGCCAAGCCCAATACAAATTCGGTAAGTGGGCGAACATATATAAGCCATCCAATGAGTGTAGAAACTGGGTCATGAGCAACACTAATTAATTATGTTGCTTCCAATAGCCCAAATAGTCTTAGGGTCCGGTTATCAAACTTGGGTGTCGATATTTAACTTTATGGCTGCCATAAAAAACAAGAACCTCGCACAAATCATAAAATCAAAGCTCCGGTACCACTTGTTGGAGACAAAACGAGGTTATACTGCATGATGTGAAGTATCGATCACAATAGCAAGATGAACACAAAGACAAAAAATTAATTTGTCCTGAGAATTGAAGATTTTATTCAACTATGATGGAGAAAGAATTACAACAATTGTATTTCTCACAATTATTCTAATTTCTATAATAAATCAGCTTATAAAGAAGAGTAAACTATATAGAAAGGACATATCAAAACCCTAACAATATTATGGAAATAGTATCAAAAAAGTGTGGAATAAATAAAACAATATTTTTCCAATAAAAAACACGTGGAATAAAAATCAATATTTTTCCAAAAACCCCTACCAAATTTGGGGCACAAATTTAGTACGTCTTGTCTTTAATTATGATTTAGATCAAAATATTTAATTTTCATGCTTTGAAGTCAAGGAAAAATATTTTTTTGCACTTTTTATTTATTTATTTTTAAAAAATATGATTAAAAAATAAGTTGTTTTACACTACTTCAATGAACTTTTGAATATAAAACTGTTATCAAATATAAATTATAGGCCGCAGTTTTGAAATAACCACATCAAACATTCTATTCAGCACATAAGCCTAACTTACTTATTATTCACACAATAGCCTTTTTAACATTAAAAGACAAATATACCCTTCATTTTCAAAATTAAAAACCCAGATTTCTCCCATAGGAACCCTAGACCTCATTAACAAATAACATATCTGCTAAAACACAATAAAATAATTTTTGTTTAATTCTTTGAAAATTAAAGCTAAAGCACATTATCCATCAATATTATAAGCAAATAAATTAAAATTTAACCAATAAAATGAAGAAACCTTGAATGCGTAGATGGAAATAAAGATGGATGAAAAAGTCTTGAAGAATGGGATGGAGATGGAGATGAAGAAGATGAAGAAACATTTAAGAACAAGAAATGGTTAGATTTTCAAATTCTTAATGTTCAAAATGGAGGTAAGATGGGTATTGTGATTTCTTTAAATTTTTTATTTTTTTTTACTTAAATATAATCAAAGACTATTGTAAAAAAGTGGCCAGGTTAACCTGCCATCTACCACCATTTCCTCACAAAATATATCAATTAATGGAAAGTTTGAGAATAAGAATGAAATGAAAAATCATTAGGGTCATTAGTGCTACAATGAGCAAAGATTAAAGGTGTGAACATCCCTATGTACTAAAATTATGTACAAGTAGACTTTTTCATATTCAATATGTTGTTGAGGAGATCAAAGTCATTAGTGGCCATACGAGTACCCAATTATTTTTCGAAGGTAATTAAGTATTTGTTCAGAGTGGACAACAATGGATAAGCCTTTTCCCTATGTCTGAAGCACTTCATGTGTCCCTCCCACTTGTACTCTATTTTTTACATAATCAAGATACTTGAAGAATTCAAACTCCCATTTAAATTTAGGTGGATACCTAAAAATTATGTATATAATTAGCAGAAGCGTTGCTAAACAATTATGGTTCATTGCATAATTACTTTTAAAAAAAAATCTTTATATATGATTTATTGAACTAGCCGACGAATTGATTTGCTAGTATTTAATTATTAAAATTGTTTGCAAGAGTTGCATTAGTAAAACCGGATTAGTTAGTTTTTATTATTTGTTAATAGGTTATAACATTAGCAAATCATTGGAATATTTATGTACATTTTTCTAAAAATGATTAAATTGACTTAACTCGTCTTCTAATAACTATAGTCGACTGAGTTCGAGTTTCCCTATTTAACTTATTTTCTAATGAACTTGCCAACTCAACCTAAAATACAAAGATAAATTTAAAATAAATAAATAACCAGTGCGACACTATATTGTTAGGTGAAAATTGAAATAGTGCAGTCCCCCTTTCTAGTGTGGCTTCCACTATCTTCAAAAAGATGAAGAAAAACCCATTATAAAGTGTGCTCAAATGGTGCGAGACAATTTATAAGACAATACATAAAATGGAAACAAATTCCAAAACCATTTTTTTTCTCTTTCAAATCCTTATCTACTCATACTTTATCAGCATTATTGCTGTAAGAGGCCTCAACGATATTGCAAATTTCTCTTCGTGCAATGGTTCAATAGCAGATTGTGATGACGAATTGGAGACTTTAATGGAGTCTGAGATTAGCAGAAGAATTCTTGAGGATAAAAAATACATCTCACCAGGGGCTTTGAAAAGAGATCAGCCAGTATTCGAAGGTGGTGCCGGCGGCAAGCCATACACGGGCAGTGACGGTTGTGTTCCTGCCCCATCGAACACCCACCACAGAGGTTGCGAACAATATTATCGCTGTCGAGGTGATGAATGATACATACGAACTTGGTGAAGCTATTTTATAGAAGTTCATTGATATTTGGGGTAAATAGACTTGAACTAACTTATGTCACACATCAACACAACGCATGTATAAGTGACATGTATTTTCGTATGTGCATACAAGAGTATATTTAGAAGTTTTCATGATATCTTTACTTGAAATAAATTAAATGGTATGTTGTTTCCGCTATATCTTGATTAAATTCCTAGTAAACTTAAGCGATCCACTTTTGTGTGTAATGAATTGAGAAATAAAATATTTGATAGCAAAAAAACAAAAAAAAACAAAAAAAAACAAAAAAAAAAAACCTTTTTTTCTTCTACTTTTAGTCAATTTTTATTTCCCTTCACTTGGAGTCTTTTATTTATTTTTATTTTTTTAATGGACCATGTTGAAACACCTCATCGAAATTTTTGCCAAGCTATTAAATTATAAGTTGTATGATACGAGACGTGTGAACAATAAATGAATAAAGGTTGTAGGTCCTACAAAATATATGAATAAAAATAGTGGTTGACTAACTTATAAGTAATTAAAAGCTTTTCCAAACATGTACTAAGTAATTGAGATGTAAATACACTTAATTATATACATTTTAATCTAATAGCTTAGCAAAAAAAAAAAAAAAAAAAAAAACATTTTTTTCCTTCTATTTTTAGTCAATTTTTTTTCCCTTCCCTTTTTTTTTTTTTTTAATTTGCTCTAAATGGACTGCGTTGAAACACCTAATCAAAACTTTCGCCAAGCCATTAGATTATAAGTTGTATCATTTGAAATATGTGAATAATAAGTGGATAAAAATTATAGGTCCTACAAAATATATGAATAAAAATAGTGATTGACCAACTAATAAGTAACTAAAAGCTTTTCCAAACATGTATTAAGTAATTGAGATGTAAATACACTTAATTATTTACATTTTAAACTTCAAGTTATGCCCTTAATTTGCATCAAATTCTGCCCAATTTTCATAAATGGTTGCACTCATACTTAAACGCAACGCTTTTGGTGGATTTGATATCGTATTAAACAACTACATATTAAAGCTTAAACTCCTAAGATTGGTTTGGTGTTTCAATGCTTTTAAGAGAATCAGATGCAGTTGTGCTAAAAAATAAGAGAACAATTAGATAGTAATTTTTAAAATTTGAATTTCAGTTTTTGATAAATAAATGTCATTTATCTTCCTCTGCGCGTATAAAGTTATTGAAAAGTACATTAATTGTTATTTATGTTCTTTTGTATTATTATTATTATTATTATTATTATTATTATTATTATTATTCAAGGTTCTAAAGTGCGTAATGCATGACAATGCATTACTATCAACTATCAAGCATATAATTATTATTCAAATTTAAAAATAAAAATAAAAAATAAAAAAACCAACTATCGTTCAAATTTGCGATAAAAACATATTGCTCAAAATCATAAATACTCCAATTACTTGGTAATCAATTTCTACAATTAGATTAGACATGAACACCAACTTTTAAAAAGTCTAAATCTTGTCCAACTCTTTACCAATTCCAATTCAATCTCCTCTTCTTCATCCAAGTTCTTCCATATCATCCGACGCAAAATTATTATCATCGAGCTTCCTTATTTCAACTCAATAATTTCTATTACCCATTGTAAATGGTAAGATATCATTGTCAACTTCTTGCTCAAAATCACTACCATTAACAATCGAAAATTGTGCTTTACTATCACCACTCGCTAGTAAAACTAGAGGAAGACCGAAGAATAAGGAGACTCGGGCTCGATGTAAATAGTTTTAATTGTACAAAAAAAAAAATTATTTTTTTAAGCATCAAAATTCAATAGATTGTTGTATATAATTCATAAGCCTTAATAGATATTTGTTGGGCTCATTTTGTCCTTTTAAGTTATAAAAATGGATTGGAGTTTGTTAGACTAATTTTGACACAACTTTTTACACAAATGCGTGCTCATTTTGATGTTTAAACATGCATGCAATCAACGAAATGGATTGATTATATTATCACGCGCATATCTCATATGCGATGGGTTTCGAAAAAGCAACGAGCATATACGGGTATATACAAAATCTATGCCTGCATTTCAGAACACTGTTTGTGAATCTATAGGTCATTTGGCATAGCTTTTGCTTCTTGTAAAAGAGTTTATGGAGAAAAATACTTTTAACTTTTTTTTTGGAAACTAATTTTTAAAAGAATTTTTTATTTCGAAAAAACTTTTAGATGAAGTCATATTGAATCAGTTTTCTCTAAAAAAAAAATCTTCTAATTAGAAGCATTTTGATAATAGTAACCAAACAGATGCAAAAGCAGTTTTTTGATTATTAGCAATCTGGAGTGCTGAATATGAAGGTTCGGAAATGGAAGTTAATTTTTTTTTTTTTTTTTTTTTTTTTTTTTTTTTTTTTTTTGGCTTAAGACATTCTTCTGCACCTTCTCATTAGGGAAAATTTATTTTCATGTCCAAGCAAGAAAACCCCTTAAGTTTAAAATTATAATGTGATTTATGTATTTTATGTTATATGCACTTTTATCTTGATAAAAATATACATGCAAAATGATTTTATACCATAATATGCTTGTTAATGTGTTGAGATGGATTGACTTTAATTATTAGTGAGATATTGGGCATTTTGCTCTTATTACTCTGTGCATGCAAGAGATAAATTATTGTGCTTATTTTATAACTCTTATTTGTCATACCATGGAGTTAGGGCCTAGCATGTTTGTGAACAAATTTGTATGACAATTGAAATTTCCCTAGGCTTGTTGTAGACCCAGGATTAGTTCTCGGACCCGAGACAAGTTCTCTCATTCGGCCACTCGCGACTAGTTCTTCCTCTTGAGTCAAGTTCAACCACATTGAGCAAGAAAAGTATCATATTTGTTTCCTCTGGTCGAGACTTTTGTGCATAGTAGCACAATATTTTCAATTGAGGTTCAGTGTACAATAATATTCTATTGGAAGGGCTTTAAAAATGATATAATAGAGAAATTTATTACATATACATGTTGATTAAAATGGTATTTATTCCATCTCTAGTTACATGCAAATACATGCATTGTAATTTATTCATTGAGCATCAATGTTTATAATTGTTTCATGATTCTTATAGATAATAGCGAGGATTCTTTGATCTTGTGGAATCAAGTGGGAAGAGGTTGTCCAATGAAGAGGATTACATTTGGGTGATTGAAAAAGATTTATTGTTTTGTCTAGTACTTGATATTCTACCTTCAAATCTAGCTTAAAGAACTTTTGTCTATACACTACTTTGCTTGAATGTTTTATGAATTTAAGAGTTGTAATGGACACTTGATGAACACTCTTTTGTACTAAGTGATTTTGGGACGTTATTGTATTTTTTACATGTGAGATGCTATGATTTGCCATGATGGTATTTTAGAAAGGAAAGTGATGAAGTTACATCTAGAATCACTGGTCCGAATCTTGCAAAGTAGTGAATTGATCTTATGCTCGTGTTTATTGAAGTATTGTAATTCCGACTTTATAAAATACTATGTAATGAAGGTGGAATCTATTTAAAAAAAATGCAAAAGAGATGTATTTTTTTTAAAGTCTTTTGCTCAAGTTTAATTTACAAGTTCGTTTTCACATTTTACTTCTCGCACCCACTCTTTTAATTGAAGAGAAAGCAAACTCGAAACCATGAAGACGACTCAAGTTAAGTTAGATTATCTTCATACTATTATTAACAAGAAAGATTTTTTTGGTCTATTTGGGTATGAAAACATTAAAAGACAAGTAAATTATAAATACAAGTCAATCCCATTGTGATCCAATACAATAATATAATTGTCCAATTCACTCCTAGAAACTTCGTGTGCAAATCTGTCATCATTTTTACTAGTCCACACAAAATATTCAAATATGGATTATTCTACTTGAACAGGGTCGAGGTGGTCCTATTCGAATAACATGGCCCTTCAAATATTCTACCACTTAAATAACATAGTCGTGCAACAAATATTTACTCAATCACGAAGTAACAATAATGTCAAACATATATAGCCAAAACTAATCATGAACAACGTTGTATCGATATGATATAGTTATCATCCCAACACTTTAATATCTCTTGTTAATGAACTATGATTCTCTATCTAAAATTTTTTAAATAAAATATTTCATCTTACTGTCATGAAACTAGAAGAAATGAGTTTTTATCATTCATGCATACTACAATTCAGCATCACAAGATCCAACGAAATCAAGATTGTTGCTTTAATGGTATATATCTTAACGTAAAATTCTTCATACCCTAAAGATACTCGATGACTTCCTCAGCTAATTTATAATGGGGTATTGTTGTTTGTACAGTCCATGAAAGACTGTACAATTACAGTCTTCTCTTGTGAGTGGGGTCCACGATTATTTTAATCGTGGATCTCATTCCTTGCATTTGAATGTGTTATGAACCGTGATGTGAAAATTGGGTACATAATGGCTTAGTCTATAATCATTTAAGTATATATCACCTCAGCACATTCACATGAAATCAATATTAGGGTGTATGGACGGCAGCATGCGTGTAACTTAGTCAAGGCTATTCTCTTTGCAATCATATGCACTTTGCAATTATGGGGAAATGTATTTTATTTTTTTTAAGAAAAGTTAAATTAGAGGAAAACATTACCTTCGAGTTCTTTCAATTCAAGGTCTCCCAACCTAAGTCCTACTCAAAATTTAGTCTTGTTGTCGAATTTCCAACCTTTATCCTTGACGTCTAAGTGTTCTAGCCTATGTTTTTGTCCCCTGGATCGTAAAATTTAAATAGAGCTAATTTTTATTTATGTGCACATTTACATGGAATAAATTTTTATTAAAATTAAAAAATATTTCTTGCAATTATGAATAATTGCCTTGAAAATAAGTACCTCTTTTATTCTCAAAATTACTCTACATTTTTGGAAGAGGCTAGTGGGTCAGTCTCCATTCGTAGTCGGTGTAGTGGGTAACACTGTTACCCCAATATCATTAATGATCCCTTCCAACCCAAAGCAATCTCACTGTCTACCATTTTCTCACATACACACGGACTCTCATACAGTATCTCACATCAAATGACAACACCAAGAAAATGAAAATGAAAATGAAACTTCACAAAAAAATGCCCAAAGTTCACCTGTCCTTGTGCGCACATTTCTTGATCCTCGCACTAGTTTTCTTGGTGAAATTCTGTAATGGGGTCTCAACTTTGGACTTAAACTTAACGAGAACTGTTGAATCTGGTGAAATGGGGAAAAGGGTTTGTATCAATGAGTGCCCTGAAATGGAAGTTGAGGACGAGATGGATTCAGAGAATAATCGGAGGATTTTGGTTATACGGAAGAAGTATATAAGTTATGATACTTTAAAGAGGGATTCTGTGCCATGTACACAGCCTGGGGCTTCATATTATAACTGTAAGGGACCTGGTGTGGCTAATACTTATCACAGAGGTTGTGAGATTATTACAAGGTGTAGAGGAGACTGACACTGGTTAAGATCCAGTAGGAGGAACAAAAATTGGTAAAGGTACTTTTTTTATGTTTGTTCGTTTGGATTTTCTTGTATATGTTCTGATATGCATATGTTAGAACATGTTCTAATATTAGTAAATAAACCATTTTTACTATGATCCTGTGATTGATTAATGTCCTTTTGGGAAATTTTAAATGATGAAAGTCCTTTCTTGTCTAATTGATTGATTAGAATTTATGGGCTTGTGGATAGATAATTGTTCTTGTGTGTTTGGGAGATGTGGAAGCCCTTTCTCATTCTTCCACAAAAATAGGGTATAAGCAAGTAATGCTCAAGTTGAATCCAAATTTCAGTATAATGAACCTCCTTGGTTAACCCCAAAATGGGAATGTTGATGTTTCACTCATAAAGTATGGAAAGTGCCAAACATTGGGAACTATCCGGGAAAGAGTTAGGAACAGGAACAAGGAGAAGCGAGAACCACTCAAATGGAGGAATTGATCGTATTTCATCCTGCAACTGGGGATCAAAAAGCACCAAATTTGATGACTTATTAAGGGAAAACGAAGTAAGAGCATGTTAACATATGTCGGGAATGCTTCCATTGATTGTGTACAAACAAAATATGAGTCAAAAGGCAAGTTAAGAAAGGTTTAACTAATGGAGATATTAACTCTTCCGGGAACCAGTCTCCTGTAAACCATGTCAAACCAAAGACCAAACAATATCTGAATGGAACGGATTCGAATTTCTTCTAGAATAGTTTCCGGTACTAAATGAAATTCATAGAATATATACGAGTAATTCAAAGGATAAAAATATATATATATCTGATATGATTTGATACTTCTCTCCTCTTGCGATTCCCAGCCCCCCCTTATTATAAATCTCATTTGTTACATATGGTTGATTAAATGGGAACATGAAGTGATTGCTTTGTTGTATGAGTTCGGAAATACTAAATTACGGTTCTAATGGACGGAATTAACATACCTATTCAGACCGGGGAGAATATCTGATCGTGGTTTTGGCATAGGTTTGAGTTCAAATATATGATCTTTGGTTAGTTCACCTTGTGAACTTTAAATGAAAATCGGAGAGGCGCGAAGGATGGGCATTAGAGGGCCAAAATGTTACACTTGACTTTCTTTCAAAAAAAAATTCTGCTACTTTTCCCGGTAGCTAGGAATAGAAATTCCCATTGGAGGCCATAGATAAATGTCTCTAGTTCCTTTATTTTTGCTTACATTCTGCACTACTTATTCCAAGTGGAATCATATTTATTGCACCCAGACTGAAGCCTTTAACTGACCGGTCAGATGAGTACTCAGACCTGTCAGCAAGCGACCGGCCATAAGCCGTGGAACTGGCCTGGTTTTACGACCCACTCACGACCGGTCTGGTTAGTAAAATGCAAGGCTTGACCTTCAAACTTGGGACCAAAATTTTGAATCTTTGCACCTTCACCAGAGAAAGTTGATCTCTTTCAGTCGTAGGAGTAATGTTATTTGGCCCCATTGGTGTTCCCGTAAATATTAATTATGGTATGAACTCTTGTTGTGAATGTGTATGCCTACTTTGCTGCTCAGCCTGTTTGAGTCATATTATTTCAAAAAAAATACATTCTTAAACAGTGATTTGACATCATTTCAACCACACATTCTTCAATAAAATAATATTATACGTAGATCAAAAAATTTTCCTTATTTTTTAACCACACATTTTCCATCAATACTAGTTCAAGAATGCATTATTACCAAAATAATGTAGCTCAAACATCCCTTTAATTATGTCTGTACTTTTACCATCTGAAGCAAAGTAGGGGTTGCTTATTCATGGCCAATACGGGTGGGTCTAGGAAGTAATGAATGCACAAACCAGCACAAAATGGGTAGGATTTTTTTTACATATTAAATGCTATTGAAATTCCTCATTAAGACCCTGTTTGGATGAGATTTTTTTAAGAGTAGATTTTGCGGGTTAAATGAATTTTTTTTTATTTTTTTTTTTTAAGAATACGGTTAAAAGTATGGAAAATTTATAAATTCACATGCAAAATTATTTTATTAGGAAAATGTGAGGTTAAAAATTAATTTGGGGAATAATGGGTAGCCAAACTGTACTGAACACGTAGTTTTGAAAATGTTGGTTTGTAATGGATGGACCCGATGCATCTAGACTTAGTGATGGACCAGAATAAGTGCACCTAAAAATTGGTCCGGACTATGTGGGTACATGGACCGGCTCAATGCATTTAGGCCCAGTTTACACTTGTAATGGACCTGAATTAGTCTACCTACAAATTGATCCTAACTTAACCCAACCTGAAACATCTTGAAATTTTGTGGATTTGAACTCGTTTGTTAACGGTCAATGTTACAGGCTATCTATAATGTTACATATACATAATAAAGTCATATAATGGTTTACATACATACGAGGTGTTAAAAAAAAGTAGAATTTTTTTTTTCTTATTTGTTTACAGAAATTTTGACAATCATATGTAAATTATTGCGTAAACTATTATGTATATGTAACACAACCGATTAGGTCATACTTGACTAACCTGTTAATTTTTTAATCTTTAACTGTAACGGACTAAACATTCTTATTGATATATTGTAAATTACATTTCTAAAATATTTTTAAAAATATAATTAAAAATTTTACACAAAGCCCTTTAAAAAAAAAAAAAAAAAATTACACAGAGCCCTTTTTTGCTCCCTCGATGAATAGATGGATCAAAGGCCCTAACCAGTCAAATACCCGTTACTGAAACTACTACTTGTTCCGCTCGCTACTGCAAATAAGAAGGCGCACGGACCAATCAATCGTATTCTTGAATTTGGAACGATGTGTTTTTAAGATCTCAATTCATAATTAAGAGTTATAAATTTTTCTTTCAAAAATCGAATAATAATTAAAATTATAAATATTTATAGTGATATTATAAAATTAAAATAACCCATTCCCGCCCATCTCATCCCATCCCCAATTTCTTCTTAAAACCTAAAATCCATTTTATTCCCTTCTCCGTCCCACCATATTCTCTTGTTACTCTCTCTCTTATCCGACGACATAATCGGAGAGTGGTGCGCTGCGGCTACTTCGCTGTCAACAGCGTCGTGCATAGAGGTCATGCAACTACCGTCGATCTGTATAAGTGCAATAGTGATGGCTTCGTTGTGCGTAACACTACCACCCGTTTGTGTTGATTGTCGACATAAAGGCGCGCTGCTGTTGCTTCACTGCCAGCAACATTGCGCGCAGTGGCCGAGCATCAATATACGGGGCACGACTAGGTGATCTATGCCCATAGAGCATAGTGGCGTCTTCGTTGTATACAACACCATCACACGTTATTGTAGATTGCCAGCTTGAAGGGTTGCTACAATAGTCTTGAGATGATTTGTGAGGAGGTGGTTTTTTGGCTGTTTTCTTTCAATCTACTTTGTTGGAGTGCTCGGGTGAATGGTGATAGTGGTTGTGAAAGTTTGTGATTTTTGTGTTGATTGTCGGTGTGAATGGTTTTTAAATGATTGTTGGGGTGATTTTTTAGGTGTTTTCCTTTCTATCTGCTTTTTCGGAGTGTTGGGATGGTTGGTGGTGCAAATGGTGATGGTGCAAGTCGTGATAATGTGGCAGTGCAATGGTAGTGGTGGTGTGGGTTGGTGGTGGGCGAAGTGGTTTGAAGTAGGGTTAGGAGTAATAGTATTTGTGATAATGTGGCAGTGCAATGGTAGTGGTGGTGTGGGTTGGTGGTGGGCGAAGTGGTTTGAAGTAGGGTTAGGAGTAATAGTATTTGTGATAATGTGGCAGTGCAATGGTAGTGGTGGTGTGGGTTGGTGGTGGGCGAAGTGGTTTGAAGTAGGGTTAGGAGTAATAGTATTTGTGACCAATAAATAAAAATGTTACTTAAAAAATGTGATCAAAAAATAACTTATATGACCAATTAAGTTGATAATTTGTGATTCGTGACTGATAAATGAATTGACCTATAAAAGGGAAAAATTCACATTTCATTATTTACACCAATTCAAAAGTCAAGTTAATAGTTTAAAAGTTGAAAATTTAGACATGCGTATAATTAATTAAAAATATTTATTAATTAAATATAATAAAATCACTGTTATACAATTAATGGTAACATATCAACAAATCAATTGGTCACATATTATTTCGATGTCACAAATCAAAAACTTTGTACGTCACGAAATTATTTTTAGGTCACGAATCATTCAAATTACAGATCACATTTTATGTATGGGTTACATATGTCACAATTTATTTTTTAGTCATAAACACCTAATTTTTTGTCACAAATCAGTGAAATAGTTGGTCGCAGATTTCAAATAGTTGATCATAGATTCCAAACACCCCACTACACAGGTCCCGATCCAGCACCAATCTTGACCACAAATCACCACCACCCAATCAACACTTGCACCACACCTAATCTAGATCTCATTCCACCACAATACTTGCTCACAAACACTATACACCCCGCCACAACACCATCACAATAATCACCAACACCACCATCACCACATGAAAATCATCACTGCACCAACGATTGGTAACAGCTCAAATAGTCGGTGACATACCACCACCAACTCCACCACGACCACCGCCACTTGCAACCACAAGATCCACCACCACAGAACTATTGCCTGCCCTACATTAGGGTTGACCCACTGGCTTCAACTTTGCGAAAACACTTATCGAGCACAGAGGCAAAACCATGGATCGCTGTGATATGTGTGTACCTACAAACCACGCATTGGGCAAAGATGCATCGACACTGGAATTGCGCGAAGCGACGGCTGCTCACAACGACGAGCTCTGCTGTAGTATTCGGCGATGGCGGCCATTGTGAAGGAGAGGATAGAGAGAGAGAAGGAGAAGAGGATTCTAAGAAGAAGGGAAGAAAAGGGAGAAGAGGCGATCGGAGCTCCCTGCTTACAGCAACGATCTCCATTGTAGTGTCAAACGACGGCGACCAAATGGGACGAGGAGGGGAGAGAGAGAGGATGGGAAGAAGAGGATGTCGTGTGTGTGTTTAAAGAGAGAGAAGTGAGTTAGGGTTTGGTGTAATTGGGGGAATATTTAATATTTTCAAAACCTGAATAAAAGGCTTTTTGGCCTGACTTTTGTACTGAGATTTTCAAATACCGAGAATTCTGTAATTTCCTCTTTTCAATAATCGAGTTGACCGGGCC